AAATATAAAAGTTTATAAAAAAAAAATATTTGAAAAAAATGTGAAAAAGGTCAAATAAAAAACATCTTCGGTTTCGGTCGGACATTTTTTTTTTTTCGGTTTCGTTTTTGAAATCTTCATTTCGGTGCACCTCTTGTATCTCGGTGCATCCCTAATTTACACTGACATGGAATGGTGGTGCTGGTGACATCTGTATTGGAGTTCTGTTGTGAGCGGCGCCATCCGCAGTCATTACCAGCACCCGTTACTTTTGGGATATCGGGTAATGGGTGCGGCAAAGTATATGGATATTGCTTTATATAGTATATATCTGGGGACCTGCGTCACACGGGCCAGTTGTGATTACCTCCAAATACATGCGTCGTGTATACTTTACAAAAAAATTGCCGCGAGGTGCTACAGTGTTCGGGTTTGGCTTGAAGAAAAGGTGGCAACCCTAACCCCACTAGACCTCTGAAGGTGTGCTGTGGTATCTGGATGAACCCCCTGATATTGAGTAGGTCCCCCTCGTCCTGACCCGTCCAGGCATGGACTCCACTAGACCTCTGAAGGTATGCTGTGGTATCTGGATGACCCCCCTAATATTGAGTAGGTCCCCCTCGTCCTGACCCGTCCAGGCATGGACTCCACTAGACCTCTGCAGGTATGCTGTGGTATCAGGCACCAAGCCGTCAGTAGCCGACCCTTTAAGACCTGTAAGTTGTGAGGTGGGGCCCTTTTCTCCAGCCAGACAGATGTTCAATCTTCCAGCAGAGGACACACAGAGGGAAGTCTGGATCTCACCTGGAAGCCAACAGCCTGTAGAGGAGGCCAATAGGTCACCAGCACTTCTCTGGTGGGCCATGAGCCGTATACAGAGCAGATATACACAATGCATTAAACAAGCTTCGAGCACCTTTCTTGAAGCCCTCTGAGGTCCTCCAGCTCCAGTCTGGTGGTGCTCAATACAGATTTAACTTGGATCAATATCCAAGATCTCCCCCTTATCACACGGGACCATTCCCAGAGATCTTCCCCTTATCATATAAGACTTGTGATGGGGCAACCAGTGGGCTGTAGTTTGGGGGTCCAGGAGGAGCCGAGTCCTCAGGTTCTTCATCCACATGGCTTCCTTCTATAGCCGACTCTTCTCTCTATGGTCTCCTCACCTCAAACCGGGATCGGAGTCTAGCACTTGGACGCTCAGTTGCCATAAAGAAGGTGTTTCCGTGACCTGACGACTGATGAGTCCACGTTCTACAGATTGCTGATTGGTGGAGGACATCCTACCCTTCACCCTCCGCGTGGTGTCACCCTCATACAGAGATCTACGGGGACACTGAATACAACATACTACATGACCAATAGGGGCTTTTGAGGGACTTTAGAGGCAGGGTAGGATGACCTTTCACCTCAGGGATGAGTCCTTAGCCGCTTGTGGGATGTCAATGTAAAGTTGGGTTCCAGTCTCACACACCACTTGCCAGTGCAGAGGACTTTATACCGATTGTGGTGACTCTGTGTATTGTAGAACCTTAGCTGGTCAGCAAACTTAGCACAGAACTCCCTGGGCGGGACACCGAACTTCTCTCTGAGGTCCAAGCCCAATTTTGGCTTCTCCAACAGAAGAAGTTCCTCTCTGGTCCTCCATCCCGGGAACAGCTTCTCCCCTTCACTGGCAGAACACTTGAAGACCCCGGCTGGGTCTTTGTCTATGACCACCTGCAGGCCCGGTCAGATCACGAAGCCTCTCCCAGGCAGGAAGCCCGGGGGACAATAAAAGACACTCACAAGGTCAGACCCGAATATTTATTCTGCACCAACGGCCATGACCTTCAATTCTTTCTATCATGTAATGTTCTCCATCGCTCCGTCCTTCCCGAGTCTAGATCAGTCCAATGGAAGGATGACACCTCTATGAATGTGGGGGGTCTGATCTAAATTCCGGAACGTATCTCAGATACTTTCATAAATAAGATCCTTCCATTCCTCCTGATTCTCCGGGAACTATCCCGTGTCACCGAGGGGATCCATCCATTCCTCTGTCCTGTATCTCCGTGTCTTCTCCATGTTCAGTCCTCCTCTGGATGTCTTCTCCTAAGAAAGGTTTCCTTCATTACTTCTCCCCAGATCTGGGACTACACGCTCCACTCCCATCATCTGCCATATTGGGATCCGTCATCCAAAGTCTTCAGATGGAAACGTCGATATTTTTCGGAACTGTTCTCACATATCGATCACTCTTCAGTCTTCTTCTCCATAGACCCGAATGTGTCCAATGCGTTTCTTCCTCACCCTAGTGTAGAATCAGCCTCATCATTGAGGCCTCGAGGTGCACGCGTGTTCTGATGCATGTCTGGTGGTGAGCCTATGTGCAGGGCCGGGGCGCCACAGTATGTGCACGGAAAAACAAAATGGCAACCGCACAATTCTATTTAAAGTGAGGAGCACATGGAGGGCGCGCTGAGGAGACTACAATGGTCTTCTCGTATCGGAGCGCACTGGACCTTGTCTACAGTCCTGCGGCATCCGGGACACTTGGAAATGATTTCAAGGCTATGAAAGAAACCTGAGGGCGGAAGTTCCTCCGTACTCCACAAGGTGGTGATCTCACTAAAGACAGGAAGTCCCCATGGAAACAGACAGGAAGTAATATCAGGTTCAGACAGGAAGTTCTAGTCATGAGGTGATTTTGAAGGAAGTGGAGAGGAGACATTGCTGGAACTGACAGCAGAGGAGGTAATAAGATATTATGTTATATGTACACCCGGTAACCCCTCCCCCCCCCCGTCATGTCCGTCCTCGTCCTCCATAGTCACTGTGACCTCTTTTATCTCCCTGGTGACGGTATCATTGTGTGTGTCAGGTTCCTATAAGGTGTCAGGATGTCTCTGTCTATCTCTCCATGGAGGAGTGGGAGTATCTAGAAGGACACCGGGATCTCTACAAGGACGTGGTGATGGAGAATGCCCCGCCCCTCACATCACCGGGTAAGAGGAGAGAGCAGTACGGAGGCTCCGCCTACATCCCCCATCATCTGATACACACATAGAAACAATGTATTCAGTCAGTGTGTGTGTTTCCTAAGGGCCCGGCAACAGAGAGATCTCATGTTGGTCCTCCAGATGGGCAGAGAAGTGTCTTCTGTATCTAGAGTTCTCGGGCTGCCTGTGCATGTTGGTTGGGGGGAGAGTCATCACGTCGGGTTGTAGTCCCCTCCTGAGACTGCATGTGAAGTGGTGGCCATGCTGGGCCCCATAGGACCATGAAAGCAGAGTCAGTGATCAGGGAAATTGGTGAAACAGGACTGAGGAGCTCCGGCTCCTATTATTCCTCCTCCATCAGTGTTGGTTCTCTGGTTACCCCCCTCCCAGTATTTCAGCCTGTTACCCTCCACTGACCCTCGCATGTTCACAAGGCTGTTAGCTCCGGTACTAGATCAGGGAAAACACGGTGGGG